AGCGGTTTTCTCGGGAGGAGATGGGGAGGGGGGGGGGGGACAGTGCCACGTTGGGGATAACGTGCAAGACATGTAGGTGGTGAAAAACCACAAAGAAGTTCATGGGTTCAGGTTGTGTTCGAGAATGCGTCGAATGCCATTGTCATGCTGCTGTGTCGTTAAAGCAATCAGTTTATTTAATTCGTAGTCCAAGCTTGCTAGTTATACGACTTATTAGACACCTATATGTATATAATGTATTAGAACCGTTCGTTTAAGAAATCGAAGTTCAAGGAAGTTGGCCATGGGCAATTCGGGTTCCATGCATAGAAGTAGCTCGCATGCCGATATGATATCCTTATGACAGCCGATATCATAAACGCCGCTGTAAATATGCTGCCCCTATCCAGCAGCTGAGCTCCGCATCAACGTCTGATCTGCCGCAACAACATCCCGCCTCGTTCCCACGGTCCCATCGCCAAAGCAAACCGGACCGAGACGCTGCCAGCGGCCGGGCCGCCGGTTGGGCCGGCCGGCGCGCCAGCTTGACCGCGGGAGAGTCCGCGGCGAGCCGCCCCGATGACATCACAGACCGACGGGCCGGACTCGGCGCGCTGGCAGCCTGATCGAGTGTGTCACTTCGGCTCAGCGGGCCCGGGCATTCGCCGTTAAAACGGGCAGACTGTCGGCGTGAGTTGCCATCGCCGCGCCCAGTTCGAGCACGGCCACTTATATACGCGGAAAAAACAAACTGGATTCCTTGGATCTTGGAATCAGTTGGCAGCTTCCGCCCACACCAATGTGATTGGGTTTGAAGGCGTGCTAATGACCGCATGCCGTTCGATGACCAGATACGGTGGTTTGCATGAACATGAAACATACGGCAATATAAAACCAGCTTAAGCTAACAAAAGTAAGAAAATGAGTTTTCCTAAACTGAAATACATAAGCCGACGTGCCTGAATATGTAAATCTGACCATTACTTGATTGCTACAGATATCTCACCAAGTGAGCTGTTTTCCGGCACGTCGCCGCTCATTTATCACGGGGTGATATTTGGCACGGGCGAGCATTTCGTTTTTATAGGTTCTAGTCAACATCGTTCATTTTTCAGGTCGGAAACAGCCAGCAGGGACGAAATGCAGCATGCACCACGATTTAAGGCTGTTAGTCACATTAACCACCCACAATTGATATTCTTATAAAATTAGCCGAATGCCTGTAAACACGCCGTAATCGACCAGCATCCCCACATTTCATCGCACTTCGTTAGTAATGCTGGCCATTTTTAGAGACTCCCACTGCGCGAAATGCTTTCCACCATCTTTAAATGTTTCGTAAAATTTCGCACGAATCCTCATTTTACATGTAAAATGACAAACACACCGGGCATCTTACGTAACCAGAGGTAAAACAAATCCGTAAATTCTCAGCCAACGTGTTCTAGACCAAAATACTCAACAAACCTATAACGGGGTGGTGCCTTTAGCCGTGATAAGCCACGGCAAATTACTTTGGTCTGGCAATTTCTGAAACATCAGTTACTCTCCGCAGTACGCATGGCACGATATAGCTCTTGTGTAAAGTTGCGCATAAGAACTATAATGGGTGTAACTAAAACGGATAGGATTTCATGTGAATCTTTAGTTAACATGTATATCCCATTTAAAGTCATTCACCTCAGCGCTGGAAATGTCAGAAAATATGCAAGGACATTCCCAGAGCATCAGCGATAAGACGCAAGTCATGGGAACGCTTAACTATGCACTTTTTGTAAGCATTTCACCCAATAGGCATTCGTAAAACGTCTCCCCAGTAGAACTCTGGGACAGTCAAAGGGTCTCAAAAGGACCCAACTTCTGTGGCCCTGGGTAAAATCGCAAAACATTAGACTAGATTGTGTTCGTCTGGCGTTAGAATTGATTTGCAAATTTATCTTTGTTTTGTTCTCTTCCTCTTCACAACTGCGCTGCCTTTTTCATAATCCGCCGGTTTAAAAAAAAAGACGTGTACTTCATCGCGCGCTGAATCATCGTGTGTGCAGCACACGCTTTTCCATGCTTGCATAAGTCGTAAGATGGACCGACAGACTTAATAAATTTGCAGCATCTGGTGGCACACACTCAAGCATAATTCTACTGGTACAATCTTAAATTATCACACAGTCCTAAAACCGAGGCTACAAAGATTTCACAATGGGCATGTCATATATGGCAAATAATAGTTTAAATAATAGCAAATAATAGCAACATGCTTAAAAGCATAGCGAATTAAGTCAGAAACCTCAGTATTTTGTACAACATCGGATTGCACAAAATTCAAATGTGTTTTGGGCGGACGTCAACGTTCGGGAGGCCACAGGTAACTGTGTTTGCCGACTACCAAAGAGGCAAATATTTCATTTTCGTATTTTCAAAACTAGATAATGCGTAATGCAATAAATGGCGCATATCGGACGAGTTTGTTGTGAGCGTGGGTAACCGGTCAACGTCTGATATCTCAGCCACAGATGTCAGCGGACGTCAGCCTCAGCGGATTACCTCAGCGGATGTCAGCGGAAGTCAGCCTCAGCGGATTACCTCAGCGGATGTCAGCGGAAGTCAGTCTCAGCGGATTCCCTCGGCGGACGTCAACGGAAGTCAGCCTCAGCGGACTACCTCAGCGGATGTCTGCGAACGCCAGCCTCAGCGGATTACCCCAGCGGATGTCAGCGAACATCAGTCTGAGCGGAATTACCTCAGCGGACATCAACGGAAGTCAGCCTCAGCGGATCGCCTCAGCGGATGTCAGCGGACGTCAGCCTCAGCAGATTATCTCAGCGGATGTCAGCGAACATCAGTCTGAGCGGATTACCTCAGCGGACATCAACGGAAGTCAGCCTCAGCGGATCGCCTCAGCGGATGTCAGCGGACGTCAGCCTCAGCAGATTATCTCAGCGGATGTCAGCGAACATCAGTCTGAGCGGATTACCTCAGCGGACATCAACGGAAGTCAGCCTCAGCGGATCGCCTCAGCGGATGTCAGCGGACGTCAGCCTCAGCAGATTTATCTCAGCGGATGCCCGTCTGGTGGAACGGCGTGTACCCTAACCGCGATGCCGAAAATGACACATTTTCAAAGATTGGTCGACTTGTCTAATCCGGCTCGCCAACCATGTGCTCGATAGAGCATAACTTCACTGTGGGGTTCCAACGAGCATGGACAACATGTGTTTGTTCCAGTAGGCCGTTCGGAGAATCAAAAGAAGCCGTGACGGTGGTTCGTATGTGTGGCAACGGTCTTAAGTGCAGACTGTTTCCTCGAAACAGCTCGATCTTAACTGTCGTCGGCCGAGACAGATGTCAAGTGCGTTGAGTAAGAATGCCTCCGACTGGTCAGCAGCCGTCCTGTAGCTGTAAAAGGCTGACGCACCCGTCGCAGCCGCTGACCGCAAGCGTGACGTTCTGCGGTGGCGCCTGCCGTGCGGCGCCGCTGCTGCGTCGTCCCTCCCGCCCCTCGGCGACCACCGCCCCACCCCTCACTCACACACCCAGCCCCTTCTTCCACGAACGTGGCCGTGGTGACTCACGTACGACAGACGCTCTGGGAAGACGGCTGCGCCGGACGGCGGCGGCGACCGTTCTGGTCTGTGGGACCGGGGGAGGGGTGGGCCGCTGCTCCGCCTCGGCGCCGAGACCGCCCACGGAGACCGGACGCCGAGGCCTCGGAGGCGGATGGCGCCAAAGGTTTGATAATGAAAGCTTTTCTGAACACGCTGCCGTTCAACGTGGCCCAAAGTTCTGAAATATCAGTTGATCGGCAGTCGGCATTTTTCAGAACAGATCACTCGACGCACCATGCTACCGTGACGCCTTGCAACGATAAGCTACGGTAAATTATTTTGTCTGTCGGTTTCTCAAAGACATCGGCTTTTCTTTATAGTGAGCATGACACAATCTAGTCGTCGTTTCATGACAGCAAGAACGAGGTGCTTGGACAACGGCAGCTGTATGTTCTACAATGCTTGCCATCAAATGCAATTTTGAAATGCACGGGACCCCGTTCCGTGCGCCTCACCCACTATCCACTAACAGCCGGCCGTCGCGGCTGATCCGGTGCCGTGACCCCGACTATTTGCCCGGTGTCCACCGCGTCGGCTCCGACGGGCAGATCGCATTTCGTCGGCCCACTGCCCAGTCCCCTGACCTACATTCCCGCTGGCCTCGGCTGGCGGAGTTCTCGCAACCACGCGGGGTTGCTACGGGTGCCCGTCACTTCTGTATTCGTCGACTGGTGTCCTAGTGTTTCGCCTCAGGCTCGGAAAGGCCCGTGCCGGCAGGCAGCTGGCTCATGTGCTTTCGTTACACTCATCTGCCCTAAGACATTTGGTCACACGGTATTTGCCCCATGCACGTTCGGATGAGAGACCTCGCCGAGCGCAGGTTATTGCGAGGGCACTGCCCCGCCCCTAGTGTCCGAACTATGGGATAATGTCCTCCGCCGGTTAGATTGCTTCTACTCGTCAAGTTAACAAGAAGCCCCGGGTCGAACCCACCCGCTGGTGTGCCGCGAAGCCACTGCGTTTGACACACCCTCAGTGCACCGAGATCATTGGTTAGGTCATTGACCCAACCATTACAACACAGTAGCTATTGAAGGACATGGTAAAGCCGTGATGAAACACCATGTCGAATAGTCTCCAAGCGCGACTGAGAGGGCAATTACAGCGTTTATTCGTCAGGTGAAAACACCTCACTTGGAGCAATGCATGACACCACTGAGAATGCATTCGACGTAGTTCAGAATGGACGTCTACCCAATTACGAATACGTGACGCCAACGGCTGACACAGTTCTCCACACCCTGCTGTTTGAGAACACGCGGTTACAGTTTGCAAATAAACAAGTACAAATAATAAAATGACCACAATATACCATTCCCGCATCCGAAAACCACGGCTTCGTTAGACAAGCTGTAAGAACTTAGTAGTGCCATATTGGTCAGGCGCGCAGAGGAGTGAGGGTGGCCGTGAGGGGGTTACCTTTTCTCTGCCGAGTCCAGGAGGTACCCAGGAATAGCCGTGCTGAAACGCCCGGTCTTTGGACACCCGCCTGAAACAAGCACGACAGTTGGCATAAGCACGGCGAAAAGCGAAAAGCAGCTTACGCAGTGGCTTAATTGCTTTTTTGCCTCTCAGTAACATTCAGGAACAAATATTGCTGCCTCTCTGCAACACGTGGGAAAACACGTCACCGCCGCGTTCGACGCGAGACTTGCAACATCAGCACGACAGACAAAACAGACATTACAGCGGTCTACGAGATGAAGTGCGGCTTCATGACAGCGGTAGAATGGCAAGTCATCATGGCGGCGGCTACAAGAGTCGTCAGCTGCTCTGGATCGGGCTTAATTAGCGCCCCGTTGTGCAACAGACTAGGGGGTGGGGGGGGGGGGGAGATCACCTTGGCCGACACTCAATAGGCGTGATGGGAAAATTGCAGGCACCACTCGCGGTCACGTCGTAGTTACACTCGGCTGTTGAACTGAGAGGTGGTGAAGATCTGCCATCGCGTGATATGTATATTAAGCACTCTGGAGTGAGTGTCAAATGACTCTTTTGCATAACCCATGCAAGCTAGGTACCGTGCTCAATCTGTGAGGCGCACACACTGAGCTCATTTGACCCAAGTCTAATACGCCTAAAGAGCGTGTAATTGCGCGACTCTATCTATCCACCTGCATCTGAGTGCTTCGGCGATGCGAACCAGTATATGATCTGTTTGACCAAGCCTGATGCGGGAGAAAATCCGACTGCAGGCTGCTCTTTCGCGCGCGCGTGGGGCTCACAACACATATGAACGGGCGCATCCTATTCCGGTTAGTGCTGACGACAGGTCACCGAGAAGGCTGCGAGCTCGTACACCGGAGCTGAGCTGGCGTTGAAACGCTCACAGCTCATACGTATGCCCGCTGCTACAGGAGCGACACAAACGGGTCGAGATATCCTTGCGCACGGCCCGGGTACTTAGAAACAAAACCATGAATGCCCACGGTGAAGCTCAAGAACACTGGAGAGCTTATACCATCGCCAAAACATTTGGCCCTGGACTGACCCGCCGGCCTAACATTTGGCTTCTGGTGATACCACGGTCGTGCGTGGCGATGCAGAGAAAGGCGGTCTGCGAGCCGTCACACGAGAACCGTCATACGAGAAATTGCACGTGATTCGTGGCTGCAAACGACAGCGAATAGGATCGGATAACAAACCCCTCACGTGAACTGAATACATTCTAAGCTCCGAACTCATCGAGGCAGCTTCATGAGCTCGTATATCATCACAGACATGTGGCCGTTAACCTCAACGGTACCCAACAGTGCATGTAACGAGTTCAACAATGCACAGCTCCCTCGACCCTTTGACCCGGCCCCGATTCCGGGCCGGTTCGTGCGACAGCGTCTGACGTCACCGTACTGGCAAGGCGGTGCCTCGCAATGTAATAAGTCGCGACTTTTGGACATAATGCCTCGCAATGTAATAGGTCGCCACTTTTGGACATAAACAACACCAAATGGAAAGTGTGTCGGAGCTCTCAATGTCGCGGCGTTTTAGTCCATAGCGTTGCATCCAAAGACAAGGCGGGGAAGTGAAATATCTCGTATGCTCAATGTTTGTTGGGGTTAAAAAGCCTCCCTACAACAGCAATTTACCTCTTGTTCTAAGAAACATAAAACAACAGCCTTATATGGAGACCCCAGTTCTTTTAATGGCAGTCACATTACGCGCAGCCCATTGGATCATCCTGATGTTTTAATTTGACTACGCGATCTGCAAAAAAACCCGGTCATGTTGTGTGGAACCCATCGAATCACTTGACGTTTTAAATTCAACGAGCTCATTTAAAAATCCAGGTTACAATGAAGCTTTTCTGTCATACGGGTTAAGAACGAAAACAGTAACCTATAAAGCCCGGACCAGCACCATAGCACCACAGCACCACAGAGACACCAACAGCTACCACCTCTCAGTGCAAGCGGAGGCCTCAGTTGCTGCCACCTCCCGGTGCAAGCGGAGGCCTCAGTTGCTGCCACCTCTCAGTGCAAGCGGAGGCCTCAGTTGCTGCCCACCCTGTGCAAGCGGAGGCCTCAGTTGCTGCCACCTCTCAGTGCAAGCGGAGGCCTCAGTTGCTGCCACCTCCCGGTGCAAGCGGAGGCCCCAGTTGCTACCACCTCTCAGTGCCTGCGGAGGCCTCAGTTGTTACCACCTCTAAGTGCCAGCGGAGGCCTCAGTTGCTACCACCTCTCAGTGCCTGCGGAGGCCTCAGTTGCTACCACCTCTAAGTGCCAGCGGAGGCCTCAGTTGCTACCACCTCTCAGTGCCTGCGGAGGCCTCAGTTGTTACCACCTCTAAGTGCCAGCGGAGGCCTCAGTTGCTACCACCAGTGCGCAGGCTAGGCCTCAGTTGTTACCACCTCTCAGTGCAGCGGAGGCCTCAGTTGCTACCACCTCTCAGCGGAGGCCTCAGTTGCCACCACCTCTCAGTGCAAGCGGAGGCCTCAGTTGCTACCACCTCTCAGTGCAAGCGGAGGCCTCAGTTGTTACCACCTCTCAGTGCAAGCGGAGGCCCCAGTTGGGCCAGTACGTGGCTCCAGCGCGCTCCACATATATACTGCGGTCTCAGACGTCCCTGAAAAAGAACCTCGACGCCAGGATTTGTTCTGATATCATCCACTCACTACTGCTTAAGCTAACATGTGCACGGTATAGTTGGCTGCCACAAACGGTTGCATGGACACTGTTACGGAAAACGGTGGTCGTCGTCATGCGCTAAAAAGGGCCCGGCATGCGTCTAATGTGGACATGACACGGAATCAGAGTAACGTCTTGATCGAGGAAAACATGTACAAACATCTTAAAGATCATCATTACACTCCCGCCAAAGATGCGAAGCACAGGTTTGTCAGGCATCAACGTAGAAGTCATCTCAAACGAGACAATCATAAAGCGCCGAACATCTAAATTCTCATTAAATTTATGGCACCCTCATAAATGTCAAACGCCGGGTAAAAGAAGCACAGTAATGCAATTTGGGCGTGCAATGTAGCTGACACCTCAGTGATTAAATTGCTTCATTCATCTAGTGTTGCTAAAACATTTTACAAGCTCTGCTGGCCACGGCACATCTAACCTTGCCATAGTTTCGCCCGTACTTGGACATAGAGGGTTCTTATAAGACAAGGCCGTGGCAATAATTGTTCCTTATGTAGTGAACGCAATGAACTGTCTTTCTCCTCACGGAACGGCGAATGTGCACGAAAGTAACATGTCGGTAATATGGAGGCAACGTGATAAATGTGTAACAAGTTGGAGGGTAGCATGGTAACAGGTCGCGAAAAATAACAAAGCATGCGCAATATGGGTTTTCTGTGCGACTACAGTGCATGACAATAATTCTTTTGAATCTAGTGCAGGCATTGCACCCATTTCTC